CTTACCTTTTCCTTAAGGTGGGCGAGGGTTCCTAGGACTGCACAGTCCAAAGTTGCTACAGAGACTACCAGGACTCCCTTAGTCTGTGCTGTTTTGCGTTAAAACGGGATTATAGTTGTTAATGGATAGTGAATAAATTATAGTTCTCTCTTTAATTAATCATTGCTCTGCACTATTCATTACAGTGCTAATGGAATATTTTTGTAATTATTTCTCCATATGTGAAGGTAACACTTTAAATCTCTTAAAATGTCTCCTAAGAAGCTACTTCTAGATTTTTTTCTGGGACAGTTTTACAAGCAGAGCATGGTGGTTTTTAAAATAGGTTTTTCCTTTAGAACAAAACTCCATCAGAAATGTCATACTCAGACAAGATGATGAAAAAGTGTGTGAAGAGAAGTCAAAAGGTCATTTCATACAAAATATGTTGGCCAATAAATTGATGTTCAGTTCATACAGCCTTTCTAGGACACACTAGGACATAAAGAGAGGTGGTGTGATACTGGGGGTGGAAATGTAAGCTTTGGAGACATGCAGGCTTGGCTTTAGGTCCTAGCTCTACCGTCTCCCTGAAATATTGCGCTGGCAGAGTTCTAAATCACCTGGCCCTCGCTGCACTTTTCATTCTTCATTTCTGTCTCCAACTCAGTGTGCCAGTCCTAGACATGCTCATCCAGAGGAAACACTGTCACACCTATTTCCCCAGGGCTCATGTCACCTCCACCAGCCCACTCTCGTTCTCTGCATGGATGAATGCAAAGAAAAACTTCACACTTTCCCACTGAGCAAATACAGCAACCACAATATGCCACAAGAACTGGGACAGTCCTGTCAATGTGGAATACTCTGAATGCTATGTGAGCACAGGAGGATTTGTAACCACACTGGCAGGGCAGATCAGAAAGGCTTCCTGGAAGAAGTGGTGCTTGGACTGATTCTTAAAGTTAGCAAGGAAAAGAACTCAGGGTGGGAAGGAGGAAGAGGTACAAGGTACCAGAAGTAGCAGCAGGATAAATGTGCCTTTTCGCTATCTTCTTCTTATCTACTATTATCTTCAACATCCTTCTGGATACCTTCTCTGGCAGAGGCTGTGAGTTGCCTACCAGATATCCACTCTACCCTTCTCTCTGGAATTAATGGAACAGCTAGAAACATTTACCAGTCTCCCTTGCATTTAGGTGGGGGACTTGAATAAGTCCCATAAAAGAAAGGGAGTATGCCATTCTTTACTCCTTCTTCCACCCTGGTGTCTGAAAGGTGGATGTGATGGCGAGGCTCTAGCAATCATCCTGGACTAAGAGGAAGATGGAACACAGGAACATAGGGAGAAATGGAGCTGGGAGCTGGAAGGAGTTTGAGTCCCTGACAACTTCGTGAAGCCAGAATACCTCAGCAATTTCTTTTATGTAAGAAATAGGTAAACTCTTCTCTTATGATTACTTTGTATTTTTTAAAATTACATGCAGCCAATCCTAAGTAACGCACCTTTCAAGACCATTCTAGCTCACAAATAATGATAATTTCTTTCTCTACATTTTAGCACATATTTGTATCACTCACTAAACAAATAAACATCTGTCTGGAGACAACCGTTGAATGATAATATCACTTTTCCTGGATTTATATCATACATTTCCAATAAGATATAAGCTCCTTGAGGGGAGAGTGTTAAATCATACAGTTTTCCTTGTCACCTCAGCTCTTAGCAAATTATCTGGTATAGAGTACATGTTTAAATAAGTGTTTACTGTCTAATTATGCCATGATTGCTCTTTAGAAAAAATGTGGGGACTTTTAAATCTTTGTTTAAAACTTTGCAGAAAGTGAAATAACAGAGTAAAGGAAAGTATCTCTTCTAAGGAAAAAAAAGAAAGAAAGAAAAGACAAAAACTCAACCGATAAAGTGATGGCTCTGAGATGACATGACTTAACATACAGTCAAGAAGTCTCTGACTTTGTTTTCTTGGAAATAAAAGTTGTTAGCACAGAGACCACCTTCTAGGCCAAAGCCAATCCATCCATGGGCAGAGCCACCCGGTTTTGAGTTTGTCACCTCCAGTGAATTATGACCCCCCCTCCCACAGAACACAGCCTCAGGCAGGTGGAAAGAATTTGTGTTATAAGGCAGACTATCTCACACATGCTTTACTTCTATGTCTTTATCCCAAATGCAGAATTCATGTGAATTTGCATAAGCAACTTGTTTCACCCTCTACTGAATCTCTAATTTTTCTTTAAAAACCTTTAGCACCGTGCTGTGGGGCTGTCCGCCTTTCTGCAAACACCCAGTTTCCACAAACTGTCCTTAAAACTTATCTACACAGTCCACGGGCTATCAACCATCATGCGAAAAAAGGCAAGTGAAACTGGGGAAGAAAGGGAAGAAAAATTACAACTGTATGCCGACCAAATGAAAACAAAAGGAAAAAGAAAACACTTTTTAATTGACGTTCTCTTTGTCAGTTCTGAAGCTAAGCACTTGCTCCTTCCTTATTAACTTTAGTCTTTAGAGCAATTTTTTCCGTTGTGAGCGCTTTCTAAAAAATCATTTTCACACATTTCTCAGATCCATCAATCCTTCCGGCATTCCTCTATGCTCGCATTATGGCAGCCGGCTCTAAATATAAAAGACTTTTATTATGTCCATTAACCATGGACATATGTGCTCCAAAAGTTTCCTGACACGCAGTCATTTGTGGGTTTTTAATTATAAACAGAAAATATTCACTAGAAAAATAAAGAAGCAAGCCCATCAATATATCTTCATAAATTGAGTTTTGTTTGTATACAACAAAACATCTGGGCAAATGACTCCCCCAGTTGCCAGTTCCAGGATGTGAGCATGCATACGTTTATAAACACACAGAGGTGCACATACATTCGCATGTGCAATTAAATTCTTGCATTGGACAGGACTCAAACATCTGTAATTGCAGGTACAAGCTGTCTTGTAAATAAAGGAATGGATTTTCCTTACACTCACCAGGTCTCATTCCACACAAAAAACCAAGTAGGAAAGAGGGCAATGCCCAGTAAAATACTTGACAAAGTCGTATTTTTTGAATGCATTTTATTTTAACAACCAAAAAATTCTAACAGCCTAACAATGCACATAAGTTAAAAATTAATTATCACTTAGTGATAACAAAGATAGTTGATTTACATGGAAAAAAGAACATTTACAATATGTTAATCCTTATTCACATTGTTGATATCGCAATAAAACACAATTTGTTTTTTCATTTCACAAAAAAAAAAAAAAAAGGCGGGAAATTGTGCTTTGTCAAGAGGCACTACAAGAGAAAGTTTCTTCTTCCAAATAGATATTATATGACAGATATTGAATAAATAGACATATATGCATTGTAATTCGCAAAGATCTGGCAAGACCACAGGCTAAAATGCCCACAGATTCACTTAGAACCACTGCAAACTTGGCAGTGAAATTAAAAAATAAAAGGCAAGACTTAGCATTGAAAAATACCTAATAAATTTTTGGTTGAAGTGTAAAAGATACCAAATGCGGATGCCATCGATAGATGAGCCACCTTGTAAGAGCTTGGCAAAATCAGTTTCCATTACGTGTACAGAGTGACCTTCAGCAACAGTGTAAGAAGACAATTTGGAAAAGAGTAACTCGGATATTAGGAAGCAGCAACCATGGACTTTCTGATTAAAGCTGCAGCATACTACAGAAGTAGGAAGGATGGGCCCAGGGCTTGACTGCAAACAGCCATCCTTCTGCAAAGGTATATGATGCTCATGTCAAGATAATTTTTTAAACATCATTATTTGAAAAAGTACAGGAAAATGTCCCTTTAAAAACTCCAGAGGTTACTGAGCAGCTAGAATTAGCTTGTATTGCAACATGTCTTCTCCCTGTATATTGTAAGTTCTGAGTTAATATCTACACATAGAGGTTTGTTTTTTTTTTAACTCCGACCTTTTATACCTTTCAAATATATAAATAGTATTAACAGTTATATTACAATGTTTGTGTAGTAAACAGAAAATAACTTTCAAAGTGATATTGCATGAGGTCTTTGAAAAGGCTGCATGAGAGCACAACTCTAAAAAAAATCCAACCGTGTGGGACTGTTTGACGGCCACCTTGAAGCATGAGATTAGTTTCACTCGGCCAGTCCTGAAGGTGAGGTCTCCTCTTGCAATGACTAGAAGTAGAAGTGGGGAGTAATGGTTTCTGATGGGAAGCTAGAGGCGGGGGAGGACTATAGTAGATTGCAGCTTTAATGCTCATTCCACTGAATAGCCAGTCGGCATTAGTTCTGCTTTATGTAAGGTAACTGCTATGTAGGTAACTGGGAAAATGTTTCCATTTATGAGGAGTAGGTGATTCCACTGAAATTGCTTTGCTTACTCTATTGCCTGGAGCTGCACAATGATTCAAAAACAGGTTCTTGCTAGGGCTGCCCCCATAGTAGGGAAGGGATGAGGTGCGTGAGAGCAAGGACTAAAAACGTCTGGTTAGGTGCATGGAATACGTACAAAGAGGAAGCCCAAAGTGAAACAGAAATGAGAAACGTCTTTCGGGAGATGAAGGGATGGAGATTTATTTGAGAGGGAGCCCCTTTAACTGGGCAGCAACTTCTTTTCTAACTTAATATTACATTGAACTATTTTCTATTTTAAAAAAAAAAGAAAAAGAAAACAGCAACAATAAACAAGTTTTAAATGAGCAGGCTTACTAATTTTAAGATCTGAAGCCACAAGCAGGTAAATAAATTTCACAATAAAATGTGGCTCATACTGTGAATTCCATTTGTCTGACATCAGTATGTCATTTTATCGAGACTGCACTAATGGACAAGTTTTCTCTGTACTGAATTTCAGCTTTACTCATTTGGAAGTCCACAGAAACACATCTGTTCACTACAGTAACGACAAGTTGAATAACGGAATGCGAGTCATTTTAAGTGTGCATTGTGTCTTTAAGATTAATTTGACTGGTATCATTTTAAGGTGCCCTGATTTTTTTTTCACTTTACTTTCTTCTTCTTTTTTTCTTCCTTTCTTTTTTTTTTTTTTTTTTGGCAGTGTTGATTTGTTTTGTTAAATACATACCTCAAAAATTACCCATCAAGCTGCCAGATAGGAAGCCATAGAATTAAAAAAAAAAAAATCAGGGACAAACACAGAAAATAAATAGGAATTCAAAAATAGTCACCCCACCCTGAGAGCAGGCCGCAGTTTATCAAAAAGCCAAAGCGACTCACTGTGAAGTGGTTTTTTTTAATACATAAACAAGTCTCTTCTTTAAGAACTCATTTCACAGTCTATTCTTTCGGATTGTAAAGTTCTCTGTCCCATGCAATTTAATATATATATGTAAATATATAGATATATACATATACATATACACACACACTTGTAGCTTCCTTCATTTATTTCATAGGTCTTTTCATCCTGGAACTTGCCTGGTGTCTCTTCCATAAGTGCAAGGATAATGAAGGCAGAGTCTCCTGTGATTATAATGACTACGATCCAGTCCATTGTAAAGCGTAACACTTTAGTGTCTTTGCCAAGGCGATGTCTGATTCAGAAATACTGAACTTATTCAGTCTACAGGTGTACCCTGTGCAACAGAGAAATGTCAAAAAAAGGTAAGGAAAACAAAACAGACCCAAAAAAAAGACAAAAATAAAATAAAGCAACCAAAAAAAAGTTTTTAAAGAAACTCAAACAGAAAATCCTTGGACCGATGTATTGCTTTGCCTGGTGGCAGTTCACATTATCTCTGGTCAATTTCAGCAGGCGCCGCCTTGCTTTTCTCCGCACTCTCCTCCTCAGCCTCCACTTTGTACATCTCCTCCGAGCCTTCCTCGCTGTCATTCTCCTCCGACTCTGTCAGCAGCTCCTCGTCCTTATACTCGGCCACGTCCACCACCGAGCCCAGGTGTTCCTTGAGCTTCCCATGATGCTTCACGTGGTACCGCTGGTTCTGGAAGAACTTGATGATGGTGTGTTTGGGGAGATCCAGCTGAGCAGAAAGAGTGTGGATGGCTTCCTGGTCAGGGTACAGGCCCACGTCATGGATGAAGCTCTGGAGGATCCCTAGGGCTTCCAAAGAGATCTTTGTGCGAGACCGAGGCTTTTTGGTGCAACTGTCTTCAGTCGGAGGAGGCGGGGGAGGTGCTTCTTCTCTGGGAGGGGAGCTCTCCTTGGCTGGCTGAGACTGCTGTCTGTGCAGGACCTGATAATTAAAATTTAAACAAAATTAACATGTGATTCACAATCTTACCTTTCAAAAGCCATCCGCCCAGTGAAATACGTGTTGTCTAGCTAGCACTGTAGTGATGCTGTAGTCATGGTAAGTTCAGGTCTTCTGAAAACTTAAAAGAATTTCTGGAGATTCAGAATCTCCTCTACAAAGCAAGAGGTTAATAATAGTAATGTTTCCATTCTGAGGCACAAAGAAGTTAAGTCATTTGTTGCCAAAGGTCATTCGAATTCAAAGGATCTGGCTCCAGGGCCTTGCTGTTAACTAGCGTGGTGTGCTACCTCTCTGAAGCCCAATGACAAAGAAACCGGACCCAGAGGAAAAGTGCAGGCTCTACAAATGAGATCACACGGGCTCACGTCCAGACTCTTCCCCTTAGCTGGGTGTCCTTGTGCAAGACACTAAACATCTTTAAGCCTCAATTTTATCATCTATGAAAGAAAGATAAGACACTGACTTCCTAGGGATGTTGGAAGGATTAAATGACATAATGCATGTAAAGAACAGTGCTTGCCTTAAACCAGAGGTTGACAAACTTTTTCAGCAAAGGGCCAAATAGGAAATATTTTAGCCTTAGCAGGGCCATACCGTCTCTGTTGTGATGCCTCATCTCTATAGTGTGAGCATAAACAAATGATCATGGCTATGTTCCAATAAACTTTATTTATAAAAACAGGTGGCAGGGACTTCCCTGGTGGTCCAGTGGTAAAGAATCTGCCTTCCAATGCAGGGGACTCGGGTTCAATCCCTGGTCTGGGAACTAAGATCCCACATGTCGCAAGGCAACTAAGCCCACACGCCACAACTAGAGAGAGAAAAATCCACATGCCACAACTAGAGAGAAGCCCATGCGCCGCAATGAAAGATCCTGCATGCCACAACTAAGACCCAACGTACCAAATTAATTAATTAATTAATTTTAAAAAAACAAAACAGGTGGCAGACTGGATTTGGTCCATGGGCCAGAGTTTGTTCACCTCTGGCTTAGGGCAAACATCCGATAAATGATAGTCATTATTAGATCAGCCTCATAATTACTTAGAGTATAACAGTGGAATAAGTCAGTATTTGAGTCAGAAAATCAAGTCTCCATAAAATTAAGAACAACTTTTGTTTATTTTCTTTTAGCCCTGATCTTAATCCTTAAACAAGAATGTTTTTTAAAAATATAAAAACTTCCAAATTAATTAAAAGACATAATTTTTATTAAATTATGCCCTTTAAATGACTAGATTATACTCATATAAATGGACCTCCTCAATCTTACTGATGTCAAGGAGACAGCAGTGAGTGGTGGCTTGAAGCAAGATTTTGGTTCCCTGCCCAGGAATTGAACCTGGGTAGCCTGGGTGAAAACCAGGAATCCCAGCCACCAGTCCAGCAGAGGCTAGAGAACAAACTATTCATCCTTTGTTCTGCAATCCACTTCCTTTTTTTTGTTTGTTATCCTTCATGTCAAGGTTTTCTAGCTGTAATTAATTTAAATTTCTCTTTCATTTCTACCTATTCCCCACTCATTAGAAAACAAAACAAAACCGAAACAAAAACCTCTAGTATTTAAATACTAGATCCAAGTTGGAGCCACTCCTGCCTGGGGTGCCACGTCAGCAGATTGAACTTTCGTGTTGCTATAAATACTCTGCTTGACCAGAAACACAGTATCCTGTCAGCAAATCCCCAAATGCAACGCCAGCTCTGGGCTCCACACTCACTTCTTTGCTCTCTGATCTTTCTAAATAAGGTCAGATATGCAACCCCAGACAATCATGCCCTGTTTTCTGTGTCGTCACTTCTAACGCTCTATAAAACTGGCCCAAAATCCCTCCGGAAGAGTGTTCCACTGCTTGTGAGGAACTGTACCCCCTACAACCGATGGATTGTTCTGTTCCCCTTGAATAAAGGACATCAAACCGATTACTACATTGGTTTAGTTTTGTCATTTGACACTAGTTAGGCAAGCTTATTCTTGACCCTCATAACTGCTTCTTCAGCGTCATCTCTGCATGGAAAAGTTTCCCATTTTAATATTTATGAACTTTTTCAATCTGACTAAAGAAAGAGAAAGCAATACAGAGGAGATTGTCCAAACAACTCGCCCCTGTCCCCCTCAGAGGCCTATGTGAGAAGGACTTCCTGGAGAGGGCGCATGGGACCCTGAAGAGGAACTCAGCCGCTGCTCACACCCTGCAACATCAGCGGCAGCGCTATAACAGCAAAAGGCTACCAGGAAGGTTCCCATTAGAAAGTATTATGTCAACTCCAAAGGCAAAGACCGAATTTCCTCCACGCAGGTCAGTGTCTAACATCCTGGAAGTTCCCAAGACCTTTAAGAATAGTGAGTTCACTTTTTTAAAAAACACATGTTTCTCTTTTACCATTCTCTCCTATTTTAGGTGGTGTTTTCCATGTTAGAGTAACAAATTAAACATTTTCCAAAGCTCAGGGGGAACTCAGTCCAGTCAATGAAGAAGAAAACATGTCTAGTTACACGAGAGAAACATTGGTACCACCACTACCAGCACCACCACACACTACCCAGATGACAAATTTTTTTTAAACTACAAAACATCAACATCAAAGCAAGCATTTAAGAAAACAATCTCTGCCATTTATCCTAGTCTCAGGGACTACCTGATGAAAAACTAATTTCTTACCGATGTGAAAATGTCAGCCTTTTCTGTAGAATTGAATAGATATTAGGGCAGATGACATTGTTACTTAGGTAACAGAAGAGGATGAAACTTTTAAAATAATAATTCGTAACAAGTAACAATCAATATAACAATAAAAGGATAATCAAATGCAAATAAGAATACCCATTATAATAAGCTGATGGCTGGTGGCAGAAAGAAATCTAAAACAGAAGACCATAAACAGTGGCACTGAAGGTCCATATAGTGTCGACCAATTAAAATGAATGTTCTTGACATTTTCTTTACCCCTTTCAACTAAGAGTAAACGTATGTGGTCTGCTGTGGTAAGCAGGCATCAGCAAAACAGTGAGAGCTCCATTACTTCAACATCCTAATTATAGCTGGCAGGGAGAGGAGACCTGCACGGTGGACCCACGCTGCTCATGGCAGCTTTGATGGCAGGAAGATATTTGCTCTGAGGTTATAAGATTGTAATCTGGGCAGCTTGAACACTGCAATAAATGAACCTCTACATCAACAGGTGAAGATTATTTTTGGGGGGGGTCGGTAAGAAGGACAGAGAGAGACTGAAATTACATAGGAATATGTACTCACACAACATGTATACTCAAGCACAAGGACCCCCTTTTAGAGCAATTGTGATAATTGGAAAACAAAAGAGAATTAAAATGCCCCATTTTTTAAATTATGCTTGCCTTCTGTAGTAAAAGTCAGCATAACGGTTCCACTTAATTAAATAATTAGATTGGTTCTTTAGGGGTTTTCCATTGTGCATTGGTTAGATTTAAAGAGATTTTCCAAAACTATACTTTTAAGTTACTATAATCTTTCTGCACGATAGGGTTCATTCTTCTCCTGAGGTCCCACCAATTGGCCTATTTCACCCCCCCCTTCTAACTTTGAACCTAGCAGTAGTAACACACAGATACAGAGAAGCCACACATGAAACAGAGAAACAATAATCATAGTAGCCACCACTTACTGAATGCTTACTCTGCGCCAGACAGTTTTAAGAACTTTACATCGATTAACTCATTTAGTCCTCACAGTTCCTTGTGAAGGTGTTACTTGGATCCAGAACAACCTAGAAACATGGAGCATCTCAGGAACACCCTCAAAATTGGAAATTTTAAACACAGAGAGCTGTCAGTCTAAGACAGTAGGTTTCCTCGGAACAATGACAATGTGGCTGCCATCAGAGGAGAGGAAGATGTTTCTCAGAGAGCTAGCAGCAATGGAAATGATCTACAAAGTGAGATATCCTGTGTCAGGTCAGACGATGCTCTATATTGAGTTGGGAGCCATGACAATATTTGCATGAAGAAGGTTAAATAATATTTCTGGTATCTTCAAGCAGATAGGAAGGAGCGCAATATTCATAATATCTGAGATGAAAAGAGTCCCCAAGTTACTCTGTCCCAGCTATCTTCATTCCCCTGAAATGTTCGGATTACTCCAGGCACAGAGTTATTTATTGTCTTCTATAATTTTTAGCAAAAAGAACTGCCTACAGGGCTTCCCTGGTGGCGCAGTGGTTGAGAGTCCGCCTGCCGATGCAGGGGACACGGGTTCGTGCCCCGGTCCGGGAAGATCCCACACGCCGCGTAACGGCTGGGCCCGTGAGCCATGGCCGCTGAGCCTGTGCTCCGCAACGGGAGAGGCCGCAACAGTGAGAGGCCCGCGTACCAAAAAAAAAAAAAAAAAAAAAAAGAACTGCATACATTTCCTCACTAGCCACCTGCAGTAGCTTATTATTATGACAAACAATCAGGAAATTCTTCTTACTGTCGTGTAGTGCTTCTTCCAGTGGTGTGAATACTCTGAACAAAAACAGAGCAGAGCCTACTGCTTACGATGTGGTATTCCCCAGGCGGGGAAATCAGTCCAAATGCTCTCCCCAAACCCTCCATCTAAAGAGCGGGATCAAGTCGCCTTTTCTGCACTTTCCCACATCTTGACTAACTAATGCCAACTCTTTTAGTCTCGTCTTCATAGGACAGGTTTCTGAACACCCACTTAAGTGAACTTTAGTTTTTCTGTCCGAACTTCTCAGAGATATTTGAAACTCCTTGTTTGTTAACTAGAATGACTCAAGTTTGGTCCCTGTCCCCAGCCAGTGCCCTGAGTACCTCCGGCCTGAGGCCATGTCATTGATTCCCGCTGGATGGACTACACGCCATCCTGTTCCTCAGCTCATCTGACAGTTCACGCATATATTTCTGGCTGATTGACTTTTTGAAACCACAAAATTTACAATGACTGCAACCAAGACAGAGGATGCGCTGCCATCTGAACAGAGATAGGCTCTTTCCTAACAAG